TTCGTCATATATGAGATTTTATATGAATTGGAAATTTTTGTCATTTTTAAACTGAAAGTCAGATCGAGTTGAAATTATTCGTAGATTTATTCCTGACATGTAACCTGATTTTTGGTATAAATTTCAAGTCAATTCAGCAAGACATTTCAATGCTAGAATGAATATAGACACGTACATACCATATACTAATAGGTAATACATATACCTACAAACATCGATCGTATATTTCGATTGGCAGTATTGGATTTTCCCGACAAGTTCTTGCACACGAGTTTTAACGAGAAATTTAACCTGACAAGATTTACCTACGTGTGCTACTATCTACATAGAACTTCTTTTCTTTTTTAAAATCATGTACAAATTTGCTTACTTTTAAATTTAAATAACAAAGAAAACTATTTGCGTTAAACCTATGAAGACATTATGTCTTGAAAAAATAATTTCTTATAATATCTACATTTTAAGGTTCCCTTTCAAAACGTTGGACAGATTTTTGGTTAAAAGATATGTGTAAAAAGAAACAAGATTAAAAAGCCTAACGATTTTCCCAATCCTACAGAGATTTCGACTAATGGGAGGGAATGCACGAGCATGAATCCAATGTGTACGCGTGTAAGCACACTATAAATGACAGTACTCGTGATACGGGCGATATAATCGTGTAAACGAGAAAATTTGTGGTCACCATGCGATCGGTTTGAACATCGAGTGGCTCATACACGTTCGACTGGCAAAAATCCGCGACCGGAGAGCCCGCATTGGCAACGATCGTCACCAAAATTTAGAACCCGCGTCGACAAACCATCCACCATTATCCTAAACTTTAATTCGGCACGAAAATTCTGTCGAACTCTGATATTTCTCTAAACAGCGAATAAGAGAAACAAAAAAGACAAGTATTCAAGAAAATTCAATTGAATTAGAATTCTAATTAATTAACGTAATATTTTCTAGAAAATATGTTATCCTGATAATTATTATTAATTCTAAATAACTTTTATTATTTTCATACATCATTTATTATAATAATAAAACTTATATATATTATTTGTTATATTTGTATATAATTACTCATTATAGAAAATTCTATTCCTATATAAATGAAATAATATTTAACAAAAATATCTAACTTATCTTTATCATTTTATTAATAACTAATTATTTTAATTCATTTTCCAGCTAATATATATATTCATATCGTTGAAAAAACCTAGAAAAAAAAAAAAGATCAATATAAAAAGAAAAGAAAAAATCGTTTACTGTTCTTTTAAAGATCCGTTAAAAGAAGAAGAAGAAGAAGAAAAAAATATAAACTACCAAACGGAAACGAAGTAAAATAAGAATCGTAATTTGTTTCTAAGGCTCGTTAATTTGTAGATGAGGGAAACTAGCGATGAACATCGTAGTCACGAACGTAATCGAGCGTTAAAAGTTTCGTTGGCGCCTCCGTGACGAGAGATAGAAACGAGCAGCCGCGTGCAAAACGGTTCAATTTGTCCGACCTGATTCTCTTCTACCCCCTTCTACGCGACGAAACTATGCACAGTTTTCAGGCCAATTTCGGACTGGGAGAAGCGAGTTGGCTAAGCGCAAAGCGAGCGCGACTATTGTTATTCAAATGATCAGGAGGAGATGGACAAGCACGAGCGACGATTTTACAACCGAAAATGCTAATAACGCGACGAAGCAACGTTGGACAAATATTTGACGACCAGGACTCTTGGATTAACGCGCCGTGTTAATGCCAATTGTCGATAATTCAATAATAACAAAGCCGCCGTATCGTTATTACAATTACATTTAAATATTCAATTCGAAAAACTTTAAATGATTGTTTAACGTCATTTCATTTGCTCCTTTACTTTTGTTCATAAATTTTCACTAGTTTCATCGCGCCATTCTCTCCCTCCCACACTCATTCTAACTCTCTTTCTCTCTTTTTCTCTTTCTATCTTTCCCTTATCATTTTTTCACTTCGCGACGCTTAAAACTTATATTTCTAGTTGTACCAGCCAAGCTGTCCTAAGACTTTAAAAGATACTTTTCAAACTTAAGACCGACTCTTTAAGATTTCATGACTTTTAAAACTCTCAAGAACGGGCTTTTCGTGATCAGATCAACCAGACTATTCCTTTTTTGTTTTTCTTTTTTGTAGAGATAATTCTTTTTTTCGATACTTCTCATTTTCTCTCTCTCTCTCTCCTTTTGTAATGTGGTGATCAAAAATTTATTTAAAAGAAAATTTTTTAAATGTAACAACAGAACAAGAAATTGATGGCAACGAAGACGAAAATTTCACGTGAATGTAATGTACAATTAAAACAAATTCAATTCTTAAATGCATTGTTGAATTCCTGTAATTGTTGTACATTGTACGAAGAATCGTTTTATGTGAAAACAGTAGTCGCAATATCTTCGGCATGTTACAAGAATTCGCATTATACGGAAGTATATTGTACAATGTAGGAACATGATTATAGGAAACTTATTACTGGCCTTAAGACTACCATCTTACCTCGTTCAATTTGTTTGTTAACGAGTAAGGAGATCAAATTGCCAGAAATTACGATGATACGATGAAATAAGAAGAAAGTGGAAAGAGAAAGAAAGAAAAGAAAGAAAAGAAAGATAAAAAATCAGAGAATCGAAACGTATGCTCCCGCGATCGTAAGTTATCGGTTAGGTATCAAGCGTAACACCTTCCGTTGTTGCAATAATTTATCGGTGGTGTATCGGCGAGCACACAATGTACCAATTTGGTACATATAATGCTACTCCCGCGCGTTTGAGGTAGCAATAAATACGGAGAGAGTAGTAATAAATTATGGTGCAGGTAAAGGACGATTAGAAGACAGGCTATAAATTAACGCGGATATATACTGCAGCCTACGATACGATGTCTTATAGGTATATACCACGCTCGATAAACTAGAGAATAAAACCTTTTTCATATTTACTACTTCAATAAAGTGCACGATTTAATAATCACTATCAATCGGATTTTCAATTCTACTTTAAAACAAAACAAACAATTAATTTCAATGCAAATTTATACCAGTAACATAAGTAATGTATAACATTATTTATTAATATATATTATATCTCATTATAAATTATACGACACAATATTTCTGATTCAATTATTGGTTTTATAAATAAATTTTAATAAGAAATTTGAAATTCAATATCGATGCAAAAGTACACTGTAGATACTTCTTTGATTCGTATTGATATCGTGTACAACTTTTGATTGCTTCAAAATATCAATTTTCATTCTACAACATTTTCATGACTGTCGTATATTGACAAACGTTCCTCTGTGAAATAACTGCAACAAATATTTCTTTTCTCAATATCCAAAAGCATTTATTTATAATACCAATTCGATCTAAAATATTTAACCATATCGTTTAAAATGAGATATCCGGTATAAATATATATTAACTAATTATATATTATAATTATTAAAATTATCATGTTAAATAATATATTTATGTGATTTTAAATAAGTTATGTGTATATAATCAAAACAATTCAATGAAAGTTCTAAAAAATCTACGATCAATGTAACCAATACACCGAAGACAGCTTCGAGAATTTACCGATAACGTGAGTTATTATCATATGAGATAAAACACTTTGTTTACTGATTGGGCAAACGAAATTCCGCGTTATCACCTTCATTGCAGAAACAACTGCATCTAATATGCGCATATTCTTCCAGGTGGCAGCAACTATTGGATATGTAATCGTGAAAACTATTTTAACACATGATAATATATAATATTTGTTAAACAAATATTTCGGGACATAAATGTCCTCGTTATTTTCTCTTACATTTAAATTCAATGTTTTTTTTCTACAAGTAATAATATTTTTTTTAAATATGCACTTTATGAACAATAAATAATATTATAAAAATGCAAATAATGTTAAAAATTATTTATAAATAAATAAAAAACACGATCACTTACATAGTATGTGGAAAATAATGTATAATCGAAGAAAAAAAAAATATCCTTCGAGCCGGATTTGAACCAGCGACCTATGGATGTCTCTTTTAGAATAACCAACTACAGTCCACCGCTCTACCAACTGAGCTATCGAAGGAGTTATGAACTCGATGAAATTTTACCAATGTGAATCAAATTGAATCATTTTTATTAGTTTACTATACAGTCTGCATCTAACGAAAAAATATTCCTATATAAATAAAATTAAATAAAATCATACTATTTTTTTATATACTTTATAATCAGAGAATTTATATCAAGAATAATTTAAAGCTATTATTCAAAATTAAAATGAAACATAATTACCAAAGAATCTAAAATATTTTTTCAGTAATCGTCCTTGAATATAAACGACAGTAAAAGTTACATTGAATATACTATGTGAACGTTCTCTCTGTCTCTATTGCAATATTAAATATACGACCTTCATTTTAAATGTCTTCAAATTTTACATTGTGCTTTTTAAATATTTCACGAATATTCATCAAATCTAATTGATTTAGTATTTTAAACTTGTATTCAATTATCGTATCAGATTACAACAAAATCCATACATTATCATTTACATTACGAATTAAAAAAAGAAAAAAAATTAGAAAATTCTCATACTATTTTAGCTATTGTTTAAAAAATAATAAATATATATATAAAAACTGTCAAATATAATTATTAATAATTAAATTTAAAAAAGTTGTTATATCATGTAATTAAAAAAAAAGAAACATAAATTCGAAGTAGAGGATTCGCCGACTATCTGTAGCGTTAGATCAAGGAAAGGATAGGTTCGCCGATTCTCGAACAGCTGATCGATTCGATAATTCATCGACTTTGAACAAAAATATATAATCGTATTTACAAACTTCCTAGATGAAAAAGTAAACAATACACATACGAGATAAATTAGAATTGATCTTGAAACATTGTCAAATTGGTACTCTTAATTCGGTGAAATGGAAATACTAAAGTGATAACCTAAAAATTACTCACCGGAGATGCAGATTATTAATAATATGTCAATTAGCTTTCGTTCCAAGGCGCTGCTCTACGTCGAACTCGCGACGATCTTCAGATTGGACAGGCATGAGTCAATTCTTGGTTACGTCACCTACGTAAAACGATTCGTCGTAACTTAATGAAACTTTGTTTACACGCACTGTTCATCGTTCTGAAAAAAGAAACCGTGTGACACGAACGAAAGGAGACATCTATATAAAAATTAATGTTATACCGATTGAAAACAATGTAGAGAAAAAGGAGAGCACTATCATGTCGGTATGTTACCGACAAATATTTCAAATAGAAAATGGCTCCAAAAAACAAATTCATAAATAAAAGATATTATTTCGAAATTCTATTAGAAAATTCTTTACGATATTATACTATTATTTTCTATTCAGTATCATACAAAATAATCATGAAAAATTTGTTTTCACATTTTTCTCATTATGTATAAAGATAAATATTAAGAAATTATTTCCCGAAAAACTGTTTTAAGGAAATAGAAAACGCAAGATATTCAATTTATTGATACTAATAATCTACTTGTAAGTAAAAATAAAAATCAAGATATTAGACGAAAACAAATCGTAAGCTGTGATATTGTTACTACTAGTGACCTAATATAAAAGATAAATGTTAATGAATTATTTGTTTTTTGATTAAAATATAATGGCAAACTTAATCATAAAAATCGATAGCAAGAAATGCTAAACAAATTAGATTTGGAATGTGTTAGAACTAACAATGACATAAATTATTATTATCGTAAAAGATCTTATTCAAATAACAATATGCATATTAGACAAATAATAGAAAGAAAATGTATACCAAAGCAGGATATTAATAAGTACGAAAGAAAATTAACGGAAAATATATAATCTCATACTATTCTCTTCGAAGTCTCTTGAATACTGCCAAATATAACCAAATTTTTGATCACGATCACTTCGCCGTCTAACGGTATTTTAATTAACTACAATGCCGCGAATAATTTTCAAAATAACCTTGTAAATTAACAAATTTTTAGACTTTATAAAATACACGAAATATTTATTATTTTAAAGTCTCATTATAGATTAATTGTACAATTAAAATATATAAACTTTTATATGATTCATATGATCAAGGATAAATTAATTTCATATGACCTAGATTAGCATCGAATGCTAATTATTTTTTAAATTAGGAAGATATAAGGTAACAATTTTATTTCATCTTTACGTTCTTATTTATGAAATCACATGATTATATTCATTTTACATGATCGATATTTGGTAATGGATATACATTAAATCTTTGATGTTAAAATGAATAATCCTAGTTAATATAACTTACGTTTGTACATAGAAGTTTTATATGTGATTTATCATATTCTTTTTGCGTATAGATTCATATTAATTTATTTTTTAATCAGTACAACATGGCACAACGAACTATTAAATTAAATGAATTTAAAAAAGTATCTTGATTATCAAAATATGCAATTCAAAAAATAATTCAATAAAATATAACCTAAAATGTGATTAAATAATAGTACAAAAGTAAAAGGAATAACGTTACAATATCCACCAATTAATTACATTTTTAAATTTAATTTTGATTAAAAATGAACTCTTCAGTAAAAATTAAGAGTTATAAAAAGATGAATTGTATTGAATAGAACAGTTTAGAATACTTTTGTATGATGTCTACAAATAATTTCAAATCTGTGTCATTTTAAACAATGGAAGATACAATAGATCAAGACTTAGCACAGATAGATCCATTAGTAGAAACTCTCACAACAAAGGAAATGGAATGGTTTGAGAACAATAAGCAAGTGGAATTAAATCAACGACAACCACAAACCCAATCATCTTACTGTAAATATAAAAACATTATAAATATATACAAATACCTTCTATGTTCTTATTTTAATAGATTTATTTTATTTTATTTTATATTATTAACTTCTACATTAGTTCAACCTGCTAATTTTACTGAGACAACAAGCAATACGCAATGGTGGAAAAATTCTCCTATTACATCAATGGATCTAATACCAGAACACCAAGTGACGTCATCGATAACAACATTTGCATTACTTAGTATACATTTTTTTTAAATTGATATAATTACAAAAATATTATATAACCATTTTACATATATTTGTAATGAATTATATTTCAGGTGATCAAGTAAATATACCATCACCGCCACATGTTGCACAAGAAATAGAACATAGCATTAAAAAGGCTATAAAGTCTAAAGAATTAAAGACAGAAAAAAATAACAAAGATAATATACGAGTTAAACACCCAGAACGATGGAAAGTAAACATAAAAAAAAATGCAAGGTTAAGAGGAGAACAATATGTCGGAGTTGGAGGTAATTATATATAAATAATTGATATTATAATTATAGATTATACTGCATATAAAAGAATTGATAAACTTTTTATATATAGGAAAAGTAGTACCAGCTAAAACAATAGGACCGCCATGCAATTGTCGTATGCGTTGCAGTAAAAAAGTAGATGAACAAGCACGAAAAGAATTACACAAAGTCTTTTGGAAAACATGTACGTGGGAACAAAGAAAGCAATACATTGCACTTTCTGTAAAAGAATCACCAAAACAAAGAACTCGCTGTCGTGGAAATGTTAAAGCAGAAGAACGTAGACAAGTTACATTTACATATTCCTTACTTTTAAAAGGCGAGTTTATAACAGTTTGTAAATGCATGTTTCTTAGTACATTTTCGGTTTCTGAAAAATTTGTACGACATGCAATGGATAAAAAAAGATCTTCTCCTGGGGGTATTATTGGACCTGATCAAAGAGGAAGACATACGCCAAAGACAAAGAAAAGTGAAACTGTTAAAGAAAGAGTCCGTGAACATATTAAATCATTCCCAATAGAAAGATCAATAAATCCTAAAGATGGAAATGAGAAAAGATATCTAGATTCTGGATTGAGTATAGCTGCAATGCACAAATTATATGTGTTAAAGTGTCAGGAAGAAGGTATTCCAGAAAGTGATATTGTAAAAGAAAGTTATTACAGAGAAATGTTTAAAACAGAATTTGATTTATGTTTTAAGCGTGCAAAAACAAAAGATAAAAAATTTATTCCTAACATTACTGATAATAAAAAACGAAAATAAGTAATTAAGATTTATATTCTTTATATAGTAAAATGTTGTTTACTTCAAAAGTAATTCTTATCTTGTTATTAATATAATAATATGATAAATGAAACAACAAATTCATTTAAAAAATATCGCATACGAAAATATTTTAAGAAAAAGAAAATTGTTAAAAAATTTATTTTTTTATCAATTTTACAAAAGAGATAGAGAGAATACTTCAAATACTGCCAATGTAATAAATATTAGATTTCTTCTAAAAAAAGGTCAAAAATAAAATACATGTAAATAGATATGAATAATATAATAAATAGGTGCCTGCAATATCAAATAAAGTTTATACTCTACTAATAGAATAAGTAAAATGATCTATCAGGTTATTTTGTTTATTGGCCTTACAATATTTATAAAATTATAGTAATTGTAAACAGTACTGTAAGAAAAGTATTATATATTTGTTATATAAGATGTATAACTAAATCTGCTTGTTATTAAATCTAATAATCGTATATTTATTATACTGTAATAAGAAATATCTATAGATTTACATTAACAAAATAATGATATTTTGCTAGTTTTAAAAAAAACAAATGCTTTTGCTAATGTGATATAATGAAAATAATATATTATTCTTCCAAAGAGATTCGTTTATTTAATATTTTAATCTCGATCAATCTTTTTTATTATAAAAAACATAGCAGTCTTTTTTATTTAGATTTCTCCCAACAATTGTACAAAATTGTATATATAAAATTCTATTTATTTTATATTAAAGTTATATAAAAGAATAGCGCAGTTAAATAATTTATATTATCTGTTATTTATATTTATATAACAGATATAATCATGAAAATGATTAATATTTCGTAACTCTGAATTTGTACAAGTCGTTCGTCAAAAGCATTGTGAAAATAAATGTTATTTCGGAAAATTTCATTTAATTGTTTTTGTTTTGATAAATGCATTACTTAATATTGCCTATGCAAAATTATTTACAGAAACAAATCTTTCTAAAACTAACAATAAAAATCTCACTAATGTAGTCTACGTATAAATAATTCACGTACATACAAAAGAAAAATAAAAGAGAGATCACCCAACGATTTCAAAGACAAGTAATAAAAGTGGTTCAATTGTAATAGTTCAAAGAGTAAAATGACTTCATCACTACGAACGTAACAACTTGGACACCCTTGAAAAAATGTATCTATACCTAAGATCTATACATAAGAGTTTATCTATACCTCTCAATTCGCAATTTTCTGATATTACTTACAAAATAACTTAACTCAATCGCTACTTCTCCTTTTCCAAAGTAGAATTAACTTCTTTACATCGACGAGTGGCAGATTCTACAGCACTAATAACCGCAGCTCTTAATCCATATTTTTCTAATTGATGAATTCCAGTTATTGTGGATCCTATATGTATTAAATAATTTGACATTAATGATTTTAAATGGTCATTAATTTTATACGATGTTCATGAATATTTTAATATTAATTAACACGATCGAGATATAATATCAATGATCATAATTCGATTAAATTTTCAAACCTGCAGGTGAGGATACGTCATCTTTAAGCTGACCAGGATGAATGTTAGTTTCGCGAACCATAGTTCCTGCACCAAGGACAGTCTGAGCCGCTAATTTATACGCTAGATTTCTCATTAATCCCATTTTTACACCACCATCTGCGAGAGCTTCAATCATCATGTATACCTATCGTATACATTAACATATATTATATTTATCTGTCTATTATAAGTCTCATTATAATTTAGATATTATGACTTACATATGCTGGACCTGATCCAGCTAGAGCAGTCACTGGATCTATCATGTTTTCAGACACTTCTTCGCAAAAACCAACGGAGGAAAATAATTTCTCGGCAACTTCTGCTTCTTTATCTCCTGCATTTGTACCACGACTAAATACTGTAGCACCACAGCCAACGAGGGCAGGTGTATTAGGCATTACTCGTATTACTGGAGTCCCTTCTGGCAAGGCCTATGTGTATTTATGTTATATATTTTTATTTAATATCTATAATATTAATGACTTTTTTCGCTAATCAATAATATCTTTACCTTTTCTAAAGTTGAGATAGAAATGCCCATGGCTATAGAAAGCAACAATTTTGAACTATCTTTTAATTCTGGTAATATCTTGGGCACTACTTGTGGTTTTACGGATAAAATTAAAATATCACCATAATCTATTACAGTTGAATTACAAAATACTGTTTTTGATCCTATATCCTACAATAACGAATTATGCGATTAAAAAAAAATAATTTAATGTTAGATAGAAAATCGAAGTAAATTGATATTGACGATTTAGAGAATTTTAAACGCTATAAATGTGTTTTTAAGCGAGTTTTTTTAGAACTATATCTCGTTATATATTATATAAATGGAACAGTAGATGTTTCACGTAAATCAAAGTGTTTATCACAAATAAGTTTTTGATAAGGAACTCGGACATTGAGCCGCGAATAATCACTTATAATATACATAACTGTCCATTTCCATATTTTTCATGTATTACATTTCTAATTATTACATCAAATATTTGTTTATATAATAAAAAAAAACAACTAAAAATATTAAATACCTTAAAACTTTCAATACTGCTAACATCATTTGGAAGACAACTAGCGAGCATCATCTCGCCTTTACTCAAACCTGTTAATATTATTATTATTATTAAAAGACTTTTAAGAAAAAAATTAAATAATATTTACCAGCTCGAATGAAACCCTTGGCTAATGCTTGAGCCATTTTTCCTCCGCCAAGAAAACCAATTTTAAACATATTAGTATCAATATTTAACGATACTTTCTTCTTTTTTTCTTCAATATCAGCGAGATGCTGATCGCTTACTAAGAAAAAAAACCGAAATTATCCGTACTAAATAAAGGTGAAGATTTTCATTAAGTTACTAATTATTCGCGAAATATTGTAAATATTTTTATTAGAAAGAAAACTGTTCAAAATTAAATTAATCGTAAAAAGATACTGTGAAATGCGCGGTTTTGAATCGACAGAGAATGTGAATGAATGACGATCACCGAACGATTGCGTTATTTACAAGTATTCTTTGACTTGTTATCCTCATCGCTTCCTCGACCGTCGAGATGCACTATGAATTTTTTTCTTGTTTATGTAATCTTCAAAGAGATAACGCACAAGCTTATATGTGAGCTTTAATACCGCATGTTTTATATAAAGTGACACGTACTTTAGTTTTGTAATATAACATACCGTATTTCGCGGTTAAGCATTGTGATTTAAATGCATTCTTAAATGTGTACCGACCGGCTCAACAAAATACATCATAGATGAGATGACCATATCCTTGAAAACGTTAATCAAGTTTTATTTGACTGAAATTTCACAATATCGTATATACTCAATCTGAATCATTGATATTGTACGTAGCTATATGTTTATAAACCTTGTGCACGTTGCATCGAGTTGAATAAATAGTAGAGCAATAATAGAGCGATAAGAGAGCTTTAAAATAATCTATGTTAATACCTACTTCTAAATCTCACGAATTAATATTAATTCAGTGTACTGTTATATTATATTGTTATATATATATATTGTGAAATAGGTTGATACAATCATATAATCTTCAGATAAAGAAAGTGCTGATCAATTACAAGATAATCCTGATAGTGAACAAAAGTGGAAAAACAACCTTGTCTTAAGTAAGGCCATCTTTTCGGTTCATTCTCATGTTATATACTTATTTACATTTCACAATTAGTCACATTAAGATAAAAAAAAATATTTAAACAATATTTTTAAGGCTCAAGAAAGGAAGATACTATTGAACGGCTGATTAAATTCTTTAATTTGTAGTCAGCAGTTAATTGTGATAAGAACTTATTGAAAATATCGCATGCAGTATTTCATTGGTCACCAGGAAAGAAACGTCACGATTTGCATTATCGTTTAACGTTATCACGATATTTATATCTTACTCCATTTGTAAATAATTATTTCCTTGACTTACCATTTCGTACGTTTTGCCGCCGTCTAAGTCGGCGCGTTATTTTAACGAGTTCCATCGTACGCGGTATTAAAGTCAGTCTCATTTCGACGATGAACAAAAAAACTTTATAAGATTTATTGCTAATAAAATCTTTATCGATTGTATGTCAAAAAATATAGCGCAGAATTTGATCGTTGTTTATGCTGATAAATGATCAAGAAATTGTTTGGTAACGTAATTCGAAATTTAAGAAATCTAAAACAAAAAACAAAACATATTATCAGATATAATAAATATGATTAAAAGATTAATCAACGGACATATTATCGTGTGAAATATTATGTTTAGGAAAAAGTTTCTTCGTATTTTGATAATATAAGTAAAAAAAAAAAAAAATTCGATACATTTTATTTAAATACAACTCAGATAAGTAAACAAATTTTTGATGTTCATGTACATGATGCAATATCAGTATGTGTGACACAGAGCTGGTTCGAACGTTTCCAATGTGAAATTGTGATGTTAAAAATATGCGTCTCTTTAATCGACCTTGTGAAAAGTCGATTAAATCATGAACAAAATTGACGAGATTATGGTTTTACCTTGAAAATGGCAAAGGATGGTTGAACAAAGTAGCATATATTTTATTTAATAAACTTTATTTAAAATGTGAAAAAAATTTGTTTTACTTTGTCATTAAGTTACAAAAAAACTTTTTCTCGAACTCAATATATCATTTTTCTACTACTCATTATTTGAAAATTTTTGATAAAAATATGTTTATTGTTAAACATCAAGTATAAAGATGTTTATAATGATTTATATAAATTTACATATTACTTACCAATTATGTATATATATCGATAAAATATAATTCAAATTTCTTGTCAATATTTTATATAATTTATATGATATTCGAATAAAAAATTAGTACACTATCACCGAATAATCGATCGGAATACTAATTAATTAAATGGTTGGGTTCATGTTACTTTCGAGTCTACGAGTTTTATTTGAACACTTATTTATATACTCGTGTTGCTTCGCGTAAGTTTCAAAAGTGACTGTTACTAATCGGTGTCTATCTGATACTGAAAACTACCTATGATAAAACCAATTGGAATATAATAGTGTGTGTCATTCCTTTGTTAACGGTGTATGATACATTTACTAATCTCTTCCGGATATGAATCATATTTGGACATAATCAAATACGGTCAATGATTTATAATCAATCATACTGTTTTATATCATGATTTCAAGTTACGATAATATTTTTATAAATATTCCACGTACATAATATTTCTGTAACAAAGATATAATAATCACTTAAATAATTATCTTAAAAACATAAAAGAGGTATCTCTCCTGGTTTATATACATGACCATCACTAATGTAAAATTAACAGCGAAATTTTTGTGTTTCTCTAAATACTTTATTACCTTTATGAAAATCATTTTTACGCAAGATAAAACAATTTGAAATTTTCTGCAATTTCCTGGAAAATGTTTTAAAAATACTCGTCTTCGAAACAATTGAAGGCCGTATCTGTGATTCCAAAGATTTCGGGTGATTGTGTAGAAACTACTGAAAACAGACTAGCCTATTCCCGTGACTTTTATTTTGAGTGTTTATTATGTAAATTTTATGTTTTGTTACATAAGATATCTTAAATGTGTGGTTGCGGTAAAAAACAATTTCTCATATTTAATTAATATAATAATTATTGTAATTCAAATATCTCGTATTTGATTTATGTTATATAATTAATTCAATAAATATTTTTTAATAACAATATATATGTATATAGTTACCTGACAGAATGAATCTAATGACTGTTTTCCATCGATTTAAGAATTATCTATTCATAAACCTCACATATATTATTCGTTGCAATATCTACAACACGTACACAATTAATTTTAAATATTTACTGATCGTATTAAAGCACACTGAAGAAGTCATAAATGATGTATTGTGCAAAGGAAAAATAATATTTACGGATCTTTCAATTGCATCTTTTAACCTTTACGCACAATGCAAAAATGATGCAACTGTTTTAACACGGCAGTGCGCATTATCCGAATATAGCCAAGGTTTGAACGATACTGAGGAGATCCTGCAAAAGACAGAAATAACTGTGCCATAAAAGTATCAATCTGAAAGAATATTGAAACTATAATTTATATAATATTGCAAATTTCACATAAATATATAGTGTGGACATTTAACAATTTCATTAAAAAATCGAAACTGAATAAAACTAATGATTGCAAATCTATTCCCGATATAATAGTATTCTACTGTACCCTTGGATACAAGAAGCTTATATTTATTATCGATAGTAAGAGTCACAATTGTAGATGCAAAATTGTTCTCTTATCACCGTAAGAACGCTGGCAAGGAACCTTAACAGCAGAAAAAAAATAAATAAGTGCTCTTAATTGCACACTATTTGCTCAATCAAAATCCATAATTGCTGACTTTATTAATTATTATTTAATTAGTTATTAATAATTGAAAACGCAAAAATGTTTTTCCTATTTCTAAGCAAAGCAACAAAGTTTGCAACATCAGAAAAAAATAAATAAGTGCTCTTATTTACTCACTATTTACTCAACTTTATTTTTTTATCAAAGAATACAATATTCTTTGATAGTATATGTAGTATAGTTATATTGTAAGAAAATTTAAAATAATTATATTTAATTTTTAGTGTCTAAATACGTGTGTGCCTTCAGAAATGCGTTTTTTATACATATATATTTTAAAAAGTAGAAGAAAATCAAAACGAGTAGATGATAAATCCAACGATGATCACCTGTAACAAAAAGAAAACTATACTATTCATACAATCAAGTGATACAATAGCTTGACATATAAATCGTCCCATTTGCAGATGCACTTTTCAATTGAATTCTCTATTTATTTTTATCAAATCTCTATTTACCGTACTAATGAAATTAAATTTAAACGTGTGATTTTACATTTACATAAAATATATAAAAATAAAGAAATAGGAAAAGTACAAATATTAAGTTACTACAAAAAATAATATCTATTAATTATTATGAAATACTTTTTTAAGCTGCATTATATAGAAAAGAAAAATTTCAAATTTAATAAAATACGATCAAAATGAAAAATTTTAAAGACGAAAAAAGAAAAAAAAAATTACTGTAATATTTACCAAACGTTATTTAAGCTTCAAAATTTAATATTACGAAAATTTTAATATTTTTGACTCTAACTAATACATATGCATCTTTAGGACGATATAGACACGAATTTGGTGTCCCAAGGAGATGGAATGGTCCATCATCTCCAATTACAACTACAAATTAATGACGAGCAAGGAAATAATATAATAAAATATAAAATATGACTAAAGAATTATTTTCGATAGGTTCGAACTTGCTGTTGAACCTTTGAAAATAACTCACTAGTCTATGTAGTTGCCCACTTGATACCACAAATTTGTGGGGGCCTCTTCGGCATTAGCCTCTTCGGCATTTAGCCTCTTCGGCATTTAGCCTCTTCGGCATTTAGCCTCTTCGGCATTTAGCCTCTTCTTTCTTCATGCCCTAAACGAGGCTTTTTTTAATATTTACTCGAATGCCTCAACAGATATTTGATCTAATCGATGAACCTATTATTAACACTTTGCATTAAAAAAATTAAATAATATCAAACAAAAGCAGAAACTTTGTAATATATCTATCTTATGGTCTTACTTTTTTACTCGACCACTTTTATCTTTTATTTTTATTCTACTTTGTATTTACTATACATATATAAAAAATAAAGTATTTTTAGTAGGAATTACTAAAGAGCAAAGTGTTAATATACTTAATATTAAGTAAGTATCCAACGTATTCAGCTATCTTCACTTTTTCGAAAAAAAATAAATTTTTAAGAAAACGCAAAGATTTTTGAATCGTTCGATACTAATTTATATCTCGCGGTACAGAGTATCAGCAATATATGAAAAAAATACAAGAAATATTTAAATGACAAATGAATCTAAAGGTTGCTGAAACTTTGTATAATATCAAGAGAAGAAATTTTCCACTCCTGAGTGAAAATTACAATCGCACGACTTCTCCGGTCTCTACCTACTTACAAATTAAATAAACATTTACACCTAAGTATGCTGCCTGCTTGTCTATTACCCATATTTAAAAAGATCAAACATACATACATACCCACCCACTCACTCCACGATTCTCACACATACCACCRGGGTGCAAAAGCCTAAACTAGAGAGCATGCCCCGGGRCACCTCCGACACCCTAGTTCAAACGCGTGTTTTCTAAACTTATGGGAGTACGTACCAATGCTGTAATCGACTGCCAAGGCTAATGATTATTGCAAATATGACTAATTCAAAAATACTGGTACATACTAGTATATATCAGCATACTAGTAATATACGAGTACATATATCAAAGTTTCCACAAATAAATGCAGAAACTCTACTATGCAAAACGACTGTTAAAAAACAAAAAAAAAAATTCATATCGTACGCGTGACTCTACAAGTAATTTTTATTAAATAACTTTAAAAAATACGCGGTATTACGTATCGCGAAACGATGTACAATGCACACACCTAACGCACACACAAGTGCAATGTACACTGTGCAATCACTAGCACAATGACAGTCGCCAATAGGGGGGAAAAAACTTAAAACTAAACCCATACCAACCATTTCTCACCCATACGTGTAACACCTGGGCACACGCATAGATGAGAACGCAGAAAGTATGAGGGGGGGGGGGAGAAACGGGAGATTAGTGTATTAGAAGCTGAAAATCCTGATCTAAAAAAACATAATTAACATACATAAATACATTAAAACATTTTAATAAAAAATCATCTAAACGGGCTAAGACTCTACAAGTCATTTGGATTTGATTTTTTAATTATGCAAGAATAGTTAAATTTAATTTTTTAATATTTAAGAATTTTAAAAGAGACAACTAAATATATATAAGCAACCTTGGACGACTCTTTTCATTAAGTTGGTTGTTCTAATAAAAGAACTGGGCTTTGAGCCACCACTTAACTGCTAGAATCTATCCGTCGCGAATGGGTTTGTCTTCTTGCTTATTTATTTCTAATATCGAAGTATCGATATATCGAAATTAATCGCGATTAGATAAACTAAGTACGATGCAATGCATGTAAGACATTTATTACATGCTTTTCTGGACGAAAACGAGTAAATTAATGCTCGATTTCATCACTACTAACCACGAACGAAACACGTAATAAAAAAGAAAGTGCATTATTTAATTGCATTATTAATTAAATGAATTTAACACCGGTGAGACAAGAAAACCTATCCTGAACTAATATAAAATATACAATACAATATATA